GGTAGCATACCTTGTTGATTTCTTGATGCCTTACATAATAGATAATACCTAAAAGCAGTTTATGTTTTTGCCGTTGTGAAGGAGCTGAGAGACTGCCCTGATAAAGCTTTTTTTGTTCTCCCTTACCATTGTGAGAAACTACTTTTGGTAGCAGTAGATGACTTCAACCAGTGCACAAGATAAATACAACATAAGTTATGATGACTACTAAATTTAGGATTCCTAGAGTAAGCAAATAATATTCATCAGAAACCCTTACCGCCATAGTCGCTACTTGCTTTTGGAATCCAACATGCTCGTGATGATTTGTTTTTTCAATGAATCTCTATCTTTTCCTATTTGGCAGCCTTAAGAAACACAGTTAGAACCCATAAAAATCAAATAGAAATGCTTGAACTCCACCTATTTATTGCGTCGATATTCTGTTCATATTAATCCAACTTTTATCCATTTCAAACAATGTTAGAACCTGAAAAACAAGAATAAGAATTAATAAACAGTGCATGTTACATTTATACTTAAATGACAATAAATTAGATGTATTTTTTATAATCTAAAATAGTTTGTTAAGCAAAAACCTCCACAAATCGATGAAGACCCAACAAATGGCTAAACAATGATGGAAGCCACCAATGAATGAAAATAATACCTATGCTGAACAATGAAAAAAGATAGAAATGGTTAAACCCTGAAGGAAAACAACGATGACGCACAAAATACCACAATTTTGTGATATTTGTATGACAAATAAATATTCCTAGCATTCCATCCACATTGACTGGTCTATAGAGAAATCCAATAGTTTGTAGAGAAACAAGTTTTAAAAATAAATCTGTACTTTCAGTATATGCCACTGCACATCAAATGTTGTTTGTATTACTCTTCATAATGATCTAGGTAGCCACATAACGTATCTTTTTGGCTAGTCCACATTCCAAAAACATTGCATGTCTCTGGTAAGCTTTAGAAATAATTTTCCAAGTATGGATCAAAATGTATCCCAAAAGCTTTCAAATTAAATCTAACAAGTATCTTCTATCTTAGAAAAAGTTTGAGTCATAGAATCAGCCCTTAAATTCTTAGCTTTTAAAACCTTAATGGATTTGCCCACCCAAGGCAGTTGCTAAAAGAACCACAATTCTAAACTATTTCAACATCTCCCTGCCCCCAACTCCCTATTTCTAGTGTATGAAAATCTATCAATAAATTCAAAAACCCCAAAGTAAATTCTTCTCAACAAAAATGTCAATAAAATCAAAGAACCCAGATTCATGGGAATACATATGATCGACTATTTATGCAAAATTCTAAATCCAAAAAAATAAACTTATAGTCTATGAATCTGAAACAATTGAGGCATATATGATTTACGAATATAATCACCAAATCCGTAATAGCCATACAATCGATCGAAAAATCTGGAAGTAGATAGCAAAAAACCAACAAACTAATGTCAACAAATAAAAGACATAATTAACTCAAAGAATCGAAAAGCCTCAACGAAGACAACAGGCATACGAGGAAGATGAACGATAGACGATTCATGAGTACAGATGATTGAGTAACGCAGATGCAGGAGGAAGAGGTAGATGCGACGAGAACAGATGTAGAATTAGGTTAATGGTTGTCCATCGGTTAATTTGCGAAATAAGGAGTACTCCGTAGTTAATTTGTGCCTAAAATGAATTATTGGATGTACGGGAAACAAAAACTAAAGTGGTAGGTAGAATTTAGATCAATTGATTAACTTTAATTTTTTTCGTATTAAATTATTTAAATTTTTTTGCCACACTTGAACTATGTGGTCATGCGAAATGTTTTTACCAACACTAAATAAAAGTGGTAATTAGTCAATGTATAATAACTGCACTTATAAATGTGGAGAAAAAATAAAGAACCAATTTTTTTGCCACATTTAGTCATGTGCGGCAAAAAAAGTGTGGGGAAAAGCCCTTTTTCTTGTAGTAAACGTCTTATTTTAACAGAGTACTCTTTGTTTCTCAGTGAGATTGCACAAAGTTCTAGACCTAATTTGCACCAAACCACCATAAATTTTTCTGCCTCAACTGGTAATAAATCTTCTCTAATGGGATATCGTTTGGCTCCACTAGATACGCAGTTCAAATATTCATTTTAGCCCATTAAGATTCTAGATGTTCTGGCTTCACTGGTCCATCATACAACAATTATTGTGTCATAAAAAAATGTTGTTTTTTATTGCAATTGTCATTTGCTGGAATAGGTACTTGTGCTTAATCCTAGGGCAAATAAAAGGCTCAAGCATAGAACACAAATTCGATCCCAAGAAATGATTCAAGATATGCTTGATAATGCTTTTTATGTTGGTGTCTATAACATTAAGGCACGCTTATGTTTTTATATATTTTTTCGCTTCACTCTTTATTTTATGTAGACGGTAATGATACATTAGTATTAATTGTGTGATTACTCTAGCTACTGAACAAGGATAGGAAAGCATGGAGAATTAAGAATTTTGCTGATATTTCTCTACATCCAAAGAAAGATTCACCTGAGATGAGCGTCTGGGAGTGCTTCTTACCTTACTGTGTTTCTGTTCATTCTTTTAAGTTTTTTCTTCATGTTTGTGTGTTTTTTATTTCATCACAATTACAATATTAACATGCATTAATTCTATTACATTGAACACTAGTTTTTTAGTATGTTTATTATTCGCAATTAGCTCACTGCCTATACTCAATCTCATTCAGGTGCTGGGTCAAAATAGATGAATTGAGCCATGTAATGAATCCAGTGGCAATGTGCTTGTACACATTCAGGTTCTTGGACTATCATTCCTAGTATATCTAGTTGTGTTATTATTTTCTCTAAAGTTTTCAACATGGGCTTGATGAGTTTTTGACATTTGGGTTGTAGGAAAATAATTGGAAGAACAAAACAAATGCAGATCTGTTTATAAAATACTCTGTTTATATACTCCAGATCTGATTTTTTTATTGTGAACTACATTCAGGAATTCTATGTTCCTGGATTATTTATAGACATCAACCAACACAACTTTTGGTACTAATCAACACATCTATTACTAACTAATACAACTTCTAGAAATAACTACCTTTAACCTCCAGAAATAACTACCCCTGTCCCTTTTAAAATTTAAATCTAAACTAATAACTTATGACCAGGAATTAAACAATACGATTAAATCTAACAATCACCCCCCTAATCGTTGTTTGTTCACACCAATCTTCACAGTAATGTTGGTTCATCATCATCTTCAATNGGTCACCATAAAATGTGCATAGTCAAAATCCATTGCAGATCTATTAGGAATGAACCTGTCCCACTACATAAAAGCAACCCAAAAGAATTCAGTAAGTCAATTATAACCCAAAAGAATTCAGTAACTCAAATTGAAGGTTTCAAATGGTAACCATATCCTCGATGAACTTATCATCCAACAACCCAAATAAAATTGGAATAAGGTTACTTAATGAATTTCAGAATTAGATACATAAAACCAAAGTGACAATGAAACATAGATCAACTGCCCAGATGGAAGAACAGAGACCTTTTTCATGGGATATAGACCAGTTTGCATCAAATGTCTAGATGAAATTTACATCAATTCACGCAGGGTAGAGATGACATACATTTTCATGGGAGCTTTTTCTCTGACGATACTGCTCCTGAAGAGGAAAACGACTGGATCCAGTCATGTTCGATGACATAGAGTTTCTTAATCCTGCATCCATCACGTTAATAACACACAAACAAAAAAAAGAAGCGAAAAACAACAGCTGTAAACAGCAGTCGATGATCTGTCCCATATATAGAGAAGGTTATTGTTTCCTCCGCTTGCCAACTGCTGGCCCAAGGCAGACCATTTTAGGCCGCACACTTCTTGACTATGTCCTCTGTAGGTTTCCACAATATGTGATCTCACCTGGACGTCATTGTTGAAAATCATACCATCCATCCCACCCGTTGTCAGTATATGATTGTTCCAATCGCGGGCTCCTACTCGTGATTGGTGGCCACCTCTCAAAGTTCGTAACTGCCCAGCAAACAAAAACTCAGTATTCCTTCAATCATCGAAAGAAAACAAACCAAGACTGAATACAAAAGAGCTTGAGAAGAAGCATACCAATCTGTTAGCCGTGGAATCCCAAAGCTGGACATCAGAATTATTCAAGCCAATGGCAACATGCCTTCCGTCGGGAGCCCATTTAACACTCGTAACCGACAATGGCAACATACATACATACATATATACATTTAGGGATGGCAATTCAACCCGAACCCGAGCTTAACCGACCCGACCGACCACTAAAATATCCGAACCCGAACCGAGAATAAAATAATCCGAACCCGACCCGAAATTTTTTACCCGAACCCGACATCGGGTCGGGTCGGGTGTGGGTTTATTATTTTACCCGACAGACCCGAACCCGAACCCGACCCGACTCAAACCCGAATATTTTATAACATAAAAGCCTATTTTGGGATATAATGAGCACTCCATATAATCTCTTGACAAAGTACTACTATATCAAATATGCCTTTTATAATCATTTTTTATAATTTCTTAATAAAAAAATGAGACACAAAAAAAATTAGATGTAATCTTTTTAAAATTATTGGGGTACGCCGAATTGATAATTGGTTAAAAGTCGGGTTCGTGTCGGGTTCGGGTTTCTGGTTGGAATGTCGGGTTCGGGTCGGGTTCGGATTTTGGCTTAAAAAGTCAGGTTTCGGGTCGGGTTCGGGTATAGTACTATCCGACCTGAACCCGACCTGTTGCCATACATACATACATACATACATACATACATACATACATACATACATACATACATACATAGGATTAATGTTATCGGGTGTTACCATTAGACAACGCCAGAGTACTTTTAGAATCCTTACGCATGTCGAATTGTACACACAATGGAGATGGTAATTTAATAAATTATAAGGAGATGGGTAGAAAATGAAAAAAAACAGATTGATTGTTGGTCCAAATTCAACACATTCTCCCATTATTCGTAATTTCATACATCTATGAATCGGTCCCTCTCTGTGGACTATGGAGCTTGCATAGGGAAAGCTAAAAACTTAACTACAACTGCAAACAAACAAAAATCTCAGAATTGGCATAAGTTCAATCTGACTAAATGCTTTTTCCAATTTGAAAACTTTACTCCCTAGACAGTGTCAGCTGCTCCTACATTTTTACTGCAAATTTTGGTAATAAATCCATAACAGGAATCTCTTATAGAAGCTTTTCTGTATAGATCCTTCACAATCCTATCTTGTTTTAAATCATTATTTCTTTTTGTGAACAACAAATACTACTATAAAATCTATAATGGTATAGCAAATTATTACTCTCTAAAGGGTTTGGGCACTGAAGTGCTGCCACAAGTCATCCAAATGCAAATGCATGCACAAATAATTGCAAGTATTGTAAAAGCACTCACTTCCCCACTAAACGTAATTGGTTGTTCATGCTTGAGAAGTTGTTCATACTCATCACTGGTGTCAAGAACACGTGCACCAAGATTCCGTCTATGGTATTCGCGTATCTATACATCCAAGAACAAATACATATGTTAGACCATTAGACGAGCAAGTTTTGTCAGTATAAATTGCACTAGATATAACTAAAATATATGACCCC